CTTCCTTCCTTCCTTCCTTCCTTCCTTCCTTCCTTCCTTCCTTCCCTGTTTTATTATGAAATTGGAAGCACATACATACCTAGAAAGAAGTTCCATTAATTTCAGTGGGTTGAAGTGTGTTTACGTTTCAGCTTTACAGTTGTTTGAATATAGTGCAACATCTCTGGAATGTAATCCAGTTTGCTCTTTTGTACAGAAACAAGAAAGAAGGCACAGCGTGGCTTCTGGAATTCTTTCCAACCTATTAAAAGCTCTAGAGGGGGGCTTGAGGATGGAGAAGTCGCCAACTTTCTGAGCTGCTTCCCAACAGCCTCTCTCTTAGAGATGTTTTGGGGGGATTTTTTCTGGAATGCTCTTCTCTGCAGCATCCAACAGGATCTGGCCCATCTTCAAAGTAGATCTTTCTTTTTCTAGCTTCTCTTCACCCACCAACTTTGATTTTGTTCAGTTCAGTTTTTGGAGAGTTATCAGGTGGGTGGGTGGGTGGGTAGGTAGGTAGGTAGGTAGGTAGATAGATAGATAGATAGATAGATAGATAGATAACATTGATATGACTGTGGGTGGCATAAAAAAGTCTACAACAAATACAACTGCCATTCTAAAGGCCTGCAGAGCTTTAGGGAGGCAGTAGATTGTTCCAAAAATCAGAGGCTGCCAACAAGAAGACATACCTCCAAGGTCTCATAAGGTGGCACAAAGAGGAGACCTGGAGTAGGGCCTCCCTGTTGGAGTGTGTGGGATCAGTAGATGTCCTAGGGAGCAGGTAGTCCGCTGATAGACAGACAAGCTCCTTTACCTAACTTCTTTCCAATATTCTGTTGGAAAGAATAAAAATACAGCAAATACTAAATTTTAATCTATTCTGCTTCTTGGTGTTAAAAGTGGGCTGCATTCTTTGGAAAGGATCTCCTTGAGCACATATATTTAAAATTGTATATATTGCAATATTCATTATGGGATATTGTAATCTGAAATATTATTGCATGTGAAGAACACAGTGTGTATGGAAAGGAGACTTTTCATTAGCAGTTATCCCATTATCATGTGTCTGTGTCCATTGGCTGTAAGCTGCATGATCTTGTGCTTTCCTGTGGAACTATCTCATCGTGTTCTCCATGAGAATTGGCCACAGGTTCTATGGCTGTAGCAACAGCCACTCTCATATATTTGTATGGAGGAGAAAATCCGACATTGTTCCTGCGAGTAACGTTGAGGGTAGGAAAGGAATAGGGCTGTCATATTAGCATTAAATTGTGGATTCTTCAAAATGTCAAAAACGAGACTGTCTTGAAGAACTGCAACGTTGGCTGGTTTATTATCTGGTCAGTTCTTAGGGTACTTTGCCTTCTTCCTGGCGACACTTCCCTCAGACATTTTGTGGATAAAAAACAAACCTGATCAATGCCTTGGGCAAAGCACAAAAACAAACCAGAATTAAGCTAGGAAACTACCAACAAACTGTGCTTCCCTTCATACATCCTGCTAAGCTATGGTTGCTATCAATAAGCCAGTATTAAAGCAAAATTTCAGACTAGTTTACTGCCCCCAATTGAAGCAAGTGAACCACTTTGTCCATCACACTAAGCCAAAACTAAACCACATTATGTTTTAGCTGATGAGTAAACTCCATGTTACCAGCTTTTTATGCCTATGCAATATAGTTAAACGTGTACAGACAGCACGGTTAAATTTTAGAAGCCAGAAAAAGTTACTGAGTAATGTTTTCAAGTGGTCAGAGGGCAAGATAATAGTTCCTGTGGAGAATGAAAACAGGAATTTGGGCATCGATTGTGAGATATGGGAATCTCGTATGTACTGGATTTTTAAAAGCATTGTACAAATGTCTGTTTCTCTGCTACTTGCAAGTTTATGCATGCGCACAGATGAGATTATTAAAGCTTTTCTGGGGGAGGAAACCAGAATGGTTTCCAGTATTTAATCATTCTTCCTATATTGTATTAGGAAGAAATGCTTGCACACAAGTTGTTTTGACTACTTATTGAGTTTGAATTAGGAACGCAGAGAGAAAGAAAATATTATCCCAGAATGTTGGGTTTATGAATGGTTCCTGTTCACCAAGATGGTGAATTATGGGCAATTTATACATTCTTGTCTCTTTGGAATTTTCATTTTGATTGAACAAATCTATTCGTGGTAGGGTCAGATTCATTATATGGTGCTGTACTGAACATGATGCTATCAATATCTTTGGTATAATTTATGCACAAAGGATACATAATGGGTTGTTTTAGCATAGAGATTTTAGTAATGTTTTTAATTAAGGTTTTATGTATTTATATATTTTATGTTTTTAATGTTTG